CATTTGAACATATTATTAAAGTAAAAATAAGCATGTGGATTAATTTTAATTAAATAAAATATTAAGCAAAGTACAGATATCTGTAGGCTTCCTGAAGTTGTAAAATTTTATTTTCACTCAAGTAGTTTTATTTACTAGCAATGTATGGTCCAGGAAATAAAGCCTTTTCCATAGACCATATCTATGAGCAGGTACTTAAAACTGACCATTTCTTTTCACCAGCAGAAATTAAATCACTAATTCTGCACACATTTGTGAACATCAGTAAGTGCCGACAAAATTGAGGCCCAAGTCCTCACACAAAGACTACTCAAATTCTGTAAGCCTAAATAATATTTAGAAAATATATATTGCTTATCTTCAAAGAACAATCCTCAGCTCTGTCAAGCAGTTAAGTGAATATTGTTATACCCTGTTTTACAAGCTGGTTAAATGAGACAGAAGGTGAAATCCTGGCCCTGTCAATATCACAACTCCCATTGACTTCAATAGAGCCAGAATTTCATCCAGATAGTTGAAGTGACTTGTCCAAGAACTCAGAGAAAGTCTGTGTCAATACCAGATTGAGAAATCTGAAGTCCCTGGATCCACATCCTGTGCTGGGGCACTAATTCCTGCCTATCACCTCAAACAAGCTGCACGATTTTATATTTTACTCAGTCTTTTTAGACTTCAACTTGATTTCAAATTAAGAATGAAAGCAATCCTTAAGACAAATGGTTTCATCAAGACGAATACAAAAAATTAACAGAGAGTAATGCTCAGTTCTCATTTTGATGGGTAACCTCAGGAGGTGACGTATCAGAATAGCAATCCAGTTTCCCTGTGAACACTTAAAGTCAGAGAAGCCACTATCAAATTTATCTAATAGCAACTACCCGCAAATAACTTGCCTCTAGGAAAATGTTCTATTAAATCTCCTTTCCCAATTGCTTCCTGCTGTAACAACAACCAGAAGATATCCTTAAAGAGAGACAAAGCCTCCATGGGGTAAGGAGAGGAGAGTCAGGGAAGAACATGGTCCAGACCATATTTAAGTATTGAAATAATCCAGTTTTTATTTAGCTTCTGCTGTTCCATTCAGAATAATTCATTGCAAACAGTGAAAAATTAATTTTAAAGTCAATAATATTAATCAGAAATATATTATTTGTTAGACTTCTTACTAATACATCAATAAATAACAGTCAAATAAATTGCACTTCACTTTTGCTCCAAGCCTACAAAATGTAACTAAACATTGAGAAAGAAGTAAATGTTAGTACATTCTGTGGATTTCATATTCATACAGCTCTACCTATATTTATTGTCACTATACTCTACAGCAGTGCTTCTCAAAGCTGGACCGCCGCTTGTTCAGGGAAAGCCCCTAGCGGTCCGGGCCAGTTTGTTTACCTGACCTGTCCGCAGGTTCAGCCGATCGCGGCTCCCACTGGCCACAGTTCGCTGCTCCAGGCCAATGGGGGCTGCGGGAAGTGACGCGGGCCAAGGGATGTGCTGGCAGCCCTTCCCGCAGCCCCCATTGGCCTGGAGCGGTGAACCGCAGCCAGTGGGAGCCGCGATCGGCCGAACCTGTGGACGCGGCAGGCAAACAAACCGGCCCGGACCGCCAGGGGCTTTCCCTGAACAAGCGGCGGACTGGCTTTGAGAAGCACTGCTCTACAGTGCAGAGTTCCACATAACTTGCATTCCAAGAAATAGAAATATTTCATGATTTTAAAAGCAACTAGGTAATGGGGAGGAGGGGGAGAATGAAGGGAAAGAAAGATATTAATATAATTTTGACCTGTGCAGCAGAAGGTCTACGCTGAGTTCTTGACACTCCCTTAATTTATCACAGTGAGTTTTTACTCCACAATATTCTCTAGCTGCAATTGTTACCTTGGTAACGGCACACAATATACACATTCTATATCACAAACACAGAGTGTATAACATAAAATGTTGTCCAGTTTCACATTTAACTGTCAGGATCTAGATTCCTTTTATTTAAATGCATTTCTCTTTTTTTATTTGATTACAATATCTTTTTTAAGATGAGGCAAATAGTTAAAAAAATTGGGAGGGGAATAAGAAAAGTGTAATAGGTGGGAGGTTCAATATTTTGTGTTTTAAAATATGCAAGACAAATATTTTACAGTTAGTGAGTTTTATCTGACATATGAACAGATTAGGCACTGTACAGAAAAGGAACATACAAAAGGGACATATGTCATACCCATGTATTTTCCCATTTTAATTTGCATTCCTGCTATACTACAAATTTGTCTTCATCTCAGCAAACTGAATAGTGTGCCTTTTATTATTACTTTATCGTGCAATGAATCACATATATTATCCTCAGATTAATTCTATGCAAAAAAATTGTTAAATTTGGTTTTAGGCACAATGTAGTTTTTAGTAAATAAGACACTAGGGAGAAAAAAAAACTTTTACACCGTGCATGAGAAGCACCATTGATGTGCAGCTCATATTAATATCCTCACGTTGCTTGTCTAAAATACACAATTTGTAAGCATTCATGGAAATAAATCTATGCACACACTTAAATGTTTGCAGAATCAGGGCCCATTTGTGTTACTGGTAATGACTTATGATTCCTTCAGTACTTGTGCTGTTGCATGTACTGATTTTCTTTTTAATTTCAGTTACACAGAATTGTTAGTACTGATATTTCTTTCTGTTGAATAAGCTGACTATCTTCCAAGATTTCTACAACTCAAATACTAAAGAGATCTTCTGTCTTACCTGGTAGAAATTAAACTGTCAATGCTAAAGTCAATATTTATTACAAATAGGACTGCATACTATTGCTAGTTATGATTGCTATAGCGTATACAAAGTCATCAAAAACAACAAACTGCGATAAATCTAAAATCTTATTAAGTTGTAAAATATCAACAATAGATATATTTTCAGATTACTAAAAATAAAGAAATGGTATGTAGAAAAGACAAACAAAAAAGTGCATTTCAGTACATTTTAAAATTACTATGCAGAATTGCACAGCATCACTTTATTGTGTTAGGACTTTAGATACTAATACATCACTTTAAACAAAACTTAAAACACTGTGGTGAAAGCCATTCTGAGCTATTCATTCTGTCCTGCAGTTTTAGCATCAATCATTGTGCCAGCACTGAGCTTTTTTTAATAGATTTCTAAAGATTTTTGAAGAAGAATGGCAGATATTTAGCAAAATCTATCAAGCCATAATTCCCTCCTATTAATCATGGCATTAAGACTAAAGGGAAAGACAAATCAATTTTTAACAGATATACTTGCATTTGGTTTCTAAACAGTAATATTTCACTATTATATCTATCATATACCTGACAAGTGTTTAATCTATTTATTTTATGTAAGCCTTATGTCTTGCAGCAAATGTTATAGTTTTATGCATATGGGCCAGGGTCATTAAAGAGCTGATTATATTGTCCCTTGACTGTGATGATCCAGTCATTCAATATAAAGGTAAGACAAAAAGTTACAGACTGTCACTGGCTGTCATTCCTCTAGTCCCCTGGCCTAGATTAGCATTCTGATCCAAGTCCTCTCTGATACCACTCTAGCAGGGCCAAACTTTGATTGGGTCAAAGTGTGTCTGTTGCTTTGGGAGCAGAGGAGAAAAGAGGTTCAAAACAGAATACAGAGGGGTCACAGAGGGATTCCAGAAATTCCATGACATATCTTAGCAGGAGCATGAAAGGAGATGTGCATATAGATCCTTTGGCCATAAACAGTGCAAAGGGGACATGAAGCCTATGAGCTGTACTAAAGGCCAAGCCTGTCCATGCAGATACACAATCAGATGCTCCCAGGGAGGGGGAATAAAGATTCTATCCTTTGACCTGTGGGTCAGCCTTTTTCCCAGGCTTTGTGGAGGGAACCAAAATTACACCCTCTATTTATAATATGGTCCATTAAATGGGTCATCATATATAAAAGATTGACTGATTCTGTAATCATGGGGTTAATTATAAAATATACAGGGTGTAAACATTATATAAGCACACATTTTATTCACATAGAGCCACACCCTTCTTTTTGCAGAGCCCAGGTATGCAGGTCTTGTACAAATGATCAGAAGAGATGGACTCCTCCTTATCACCTGAGACCATGAATTTGACACAGCTTCTCCATGGCCGCTACAGCAGCTCATAAGTTAGAGTAGCATCTGCCACCCTTTCCCTCCCTTTCAAGGGAAAATCTGGATAGTGGATCCATGCAATCACAAATCCACTAGCTGTGCCCCTCCCCTGGGTCCCTTATGGAGGCTCTCTGAAACTAAACACCTCTCCCCACTGCAAAGTAGAAGTGCACTACTTTTGCTGCCTGTTGGGCTCTATATGCCCCATGTGAAAGAGTTAGGGAGTGGCATAAGGAAATAGGATTTGGCCCTTAATAAGTTCATATATATGCAATGTAAAGTCATTCCAATACATAAATAAAACAAATAAATACATGTACGTACATACACATAGGATACTGAACTTAAAAACATAAATAAATAAAAAAATGTCTTAACCTAGCTTCTAACAGCACTTTAAATAATTTAAAAATGAAAAGTTTGTTAAATCCAATTCCCTCTCTCTATTAAAAATCTAAGAGTGTGGTGGTGTAATGAGTCAAACCACACTCCAGGACTTTCACTGTGCTATAGCAGTGTCCACATGGGATGTTACAGGGTGGCAAGCTGGTTTGCCGCACAGTAACCTGCTGCATAGACAAGCTCTAATTTTAAATTGTCTTCTTGATTACAACTAGTTCTCTCTATGTTCTTATGAAATAATTTATTGTGAAAAGCTATTTTCAATAGCTAAATTACTGAATGTGCTTCAAGGAAAGTACTAGTTATTTTAATCCATTATATTTTTACTTTAGCAATACAGCATATTCCAACATGTTTGATTTAATGAAATCACCAATAAGAAATTTAATCATTAAAAAATTCTTTGGTTCATATGTAAAAATACCAGCCATCTGTATGTCTTACATACCTCAGTAGCAAACTGCTGCAATCCACCAATATTAATTGGTCCCTCCTCTGTAGCATATAAATTGCATCCACCTACACAAAGATCTGAGGTTGGACAAACCATTCCACATGTCAGACCCAGTGGGTTGTCAGAAAGAATCATTTTGGCAGCTCCATAATAGTTCTGCATGAAGAAAACAAAATCAACAATAATGCCACATAACAGGGAAGCAGAGATTCAAGAGAGGAAATCCAAAATGTTGTTCCTTTTATGTGGCTAGTAGAATAACACTGCACCTTTGATAAAATTTAAAGACACAAATTTGTCACATATGTGTATTACCAAGCATGGCTGAAAAGGCATTGGGGACAAATTCAGAATGTATCTCACTGTATGGCAGGCCAAGAATCTTTCAATTATTTCTTTTTTTATTATCAAAATATTCTAATTTGTTTTATGTTGATTTTCAGTTATTTTTGTAGGGTTGTGTAGTGGATTTACAGTTTTATTTTAAACATAACATGTTGTGTGTATTACACTCCAGGAAGTGCTCTCTCCATTCCTAAGTCAATTATGCAGCTGGTGAACAGACACTATGTAACTGTAGCCCCAAGTTCTTTCTCCATTCACTCACTTCCTAATAAAAAACAACAACAACAACTATCAAGAAGAGCCCAGGAAACATTTGGGTGCCAGAGGTTTCCCTAAAGACCACCACTGATCATGGGAAGATAAAAGTCACACCTATGCAGGGGACCAGCATCAGGCTCATGCACTAATTAAGAGGTCTGGAGGGCTTGTGCTAGCAAATGCAGATGGAAGTGAGCGCCATTCCAACCCTCTCCCAAACTACGAACAACTGCAAGAAGAAAGGTCTTGTTTTCCATTCCCTCTAGCCACCTCTTCCACATCTCATTCTCCAGTAACTTTTTAATGAACATTGTTTTCAGAGCTGGTCTATCACTACACTGGTCTGTGCCAGGGAGTCATTTTCCCAACCAGGACGATAGCTGGCTCAGAAGAATCAGAAGCTGTAGAGCCAGTGGGAGGTGAAGAGGCCATTGACAGGTGCCCCTTCCCAGTGCAGAGCTGGAGAGTTTTATTTCCAACATTCACGTTTAGCAGGGTAATACACATGCATTGTGCATCTTCAAAGGGAACAATATCCCACACAGTGTGAGACTCAAGTAGTGAATATGCAGAACATTTTCAAGATTTGATTATGTAACAAAATATGGGTTAAAAGTCATATATGATTTGAAATGTTCTAATTGACCAAGAGGCACATTAAAGGACTGGGCATAATGTTCAGAGGCTCAACCAGATGATGCAGTCAGGAACAGTGAGTTCCCCTAGGGCTCCAATGTTGAAGAAACAATTTTGTAGAAGTAGCTGGGCCTTTCTTCTACATATTGCAGTGCCTATTCCACTGGCCATTCCATGATTACATAGATCACAAAGCCATGCATACATTGTCAAGGGGTTTGCTCCCAAATTACTACATCAATTGGAAGCTCTAGTCTTGGGCAAACAGGAAAAAATTGGTTAATTAAGCAAGTCATTTGTGAAGGGACTTCCTTCAGCGGTTTTGTCTGTGGTGACAGGTAAGTGAGATATTGGGCCTGACTCCCATTTATGTTGTCCACTTTTCACTACTCTGGCAATGTAAAGGGGCCTAGAAGTGGCTGTTAATTAACCTGATTAAAAATGTAATTTACACCCACTTTATGGCTCCTTTATTCTGCCAGAGCAGTGTAACTGATCTTCAATGTAAGTGAGAATCCAGCACATTAAGTTCAATATTCAATATTGGCTAAAGGGACTGTTTCCTTTTTTCTCTGAAAAAGGACCACCCAGAGCTAAATTGTTGGGCATTTGTCTTCAGAATTCAAACAAGCTAGTTTCATTACTTTCACATTTTGGTTTTGCTTCACATTCTGCTGTGTTTCTTCATATGGGGGGGAGGGGGGACTGTTGTGCCCAGGACAGTTATCTTCGTTGATTTCAAGTTTAGTACAAGAGAAAGAATTAAAACCAAATGTAATTTCATCTAAGAAAGATAATTAAGGATTCATAAATCTTTGAAGCTTCATAATTAAAATTGGTGCATACAGATAATTAACATCCTCAGTTTATCATATTAACTAACTATTCCTCTTTAAGAATCATTTTTATCATAGGCTGGTACAATTTTCACAATATTTTCTTTTAAGACAGAATATATATATATAAAATATATGAAAAAGTTAAAACATTTTCACATTGTTTCAGTGACACCCTCCTTAGAAATCTCCATTATGTAATTTCAATCATGTTGATTGTTTGCTGTGTTATTGAATTATGATCTTGATTAAATTTAAGCTGAGGAACATTACTTATTGATTTGATATGCAGCCATTACATACCTTTATATATAGACTTTTACAATACAAGTACTGTGAGATATGCAACACACATCACAGTGCCAAGTAGTAAAACAATATGCACTGAATGTATAAAATGTTTTGTAGTGTTAACATTTTTAAGTGAATGTAGTGATCAATAAAAAGGCACCAAACTGACAAAGCTAGAGCTCAAAGTGTGCTACTTATTGAGAGAACAAGCATATCAAAAGCAGCAGCATTGCAAGCTTTCCACACAAATTCAACAACATGCCTCAACCTGGTGCTAAAGGGATCACCTCTAGAAGTGAAAGGGGAATTTAGGTTCAATGCTCACTCAGCCTCTCTACTTAGGCTGCCAAAAAGAAGCCAATTAGTGTCAATTCTACTGGTGGCAATTCTGTAATGTGGACATATGTCTATTCAGAAACAACATAGTATCAACATCATGGGCAGTACAGCTTAGTGGATATAGCCCTAGACCCGTATGCTATTCTCAGCTCTGTAACTAGCTACTGGGTGACCATGGGCAAACCACTTCTCTATGCCTCAGGTTTCCTCATGTTTGAAACAGGGATGATAAGGGCCTCCACTATAATGGAAGCTAGCTATTCTTTTATTAGTATAAGTCATTTTACAGGGTCTACTTAACAGGTATCAGATGGTAACTTTCAAGATGAAATCCTTGTCACCTTCCCAAGTGAGTTGCCCAAGCAACTTCAAACTTAGGATTTGCCCTCAGTCTGTTCTGAACTGTACTTGATTTGAACTGGTAATCTTAGTGAAAAGCTCTCATGTTCTATTACCCCAGTTTTGTAGTACAATAACATATTTAGATGTTTTCTGTGTTGTATTTAAGTATAATATGGAACAATATTTCTTTTAACAATATTTTTCTAAAATAATTACTATGTTTCAGATAAGCTAACATAGTTTTCAATCAGCCACTGAACCAAATCCTCAATTTCTGATCCTGTCCAAATTCACCCATCATGAGCAGCGAACTAGCCTATTTGGGAGAAGTTTATTGCGATGTTATACAGATCCTGCTGCTATAAGCTATGTGTTCAGGAGACCTATGACGTTTCTCATAATTGTGCATAACTGTCATTTGCTGAAACAGCAACTTTATTCCAGAAAGGAAATTTTAGGACAACACAAGGCAGGTTGTCCTAAGGAAGCATATAGTATTAGTAAAATACCTTTTAGAAATATGAAGAATTTAGAATTATAGATCGGAGGTAGGTGATTTGGAGTTTTCCACACACCTTTGCACTTGACTTACTAGTTATATTACTGCTTGCTTGTTGAAGACCAACTATGCTACTTTATAGGCACTCAAGTTACTAATTATCAACTACAAACACTTACTGTGGAAAAGAGTGGGAAGTCCTTACTACAACAGCTAAAATACTTTGCAACTCTGTGATGGTTTGTTTCTGTGTATTAATCCCTTCTTTTACTATACTGATTTCTCATGTAACACATGCCAGACATCATTAGAAAGAATGCATTTTTCTAAACTTTTACAAAAACTAATAAGGACAGGAAGTATAATCTAGTTTTATTATGCCGCTGAAAATTAAAGTAATGTTGTACTACAACAATAAGTCATTCTGCATATGGAAGAGACAAATTAACAAATAATAAATAAGAATACTTTGCACTTATATGACACCATCCATCCTTGGGGATCCTTAAACACTTGCCAGTTTTAACTCAGATAGTTACCTCAGTATCTTAGTCTTCTCTGATACTTCTTATGTAAGGAAAGTACTTCTAATATTGAAAATACTGACATTATATAATTCAAACACTTATTTCGCACTTATTCCAATTCTCAATTAAGTTAATGGGCTTCTTAATCATATTCATATAACACAACCATAACAGTTATTTTACAGAGCCCAAGGATGTGCTGGATCCCTCACAGAAGAGGTAAGGTGATCTGACCCCTACCCAGAGGAGTTTATGAACTAATATCAGACATGATGCACCAAGGGGTAGCTAGACAGTGCAACTGGAGGGAGGATGACTCAGCAAAGGCTATTGCACAACCTAAAACAACAATAATTTAGAATTAAAATAGTTTGGGATATTTTTAAATACATATAAATAAATAAGCAAATGACTCAGTTGGCTAATTCTTGTAGACGTCAAGGAGGAAGCAGATTGAGAACTAGAATGCTTTGGAGATTGTTTTATTTAAATGGAATAAATGCACCCTCATGCCTTGATGCATAAAATATCTTTTTTTCCTAGGCACTTCCACAGAAAGAAATTAATCTAACTGGATAGGATGTTTTTTGGTTTCCTTCATCAAAATGCCAATAAATACACATTGGTAAGGGAGAGAACAGAAACAAGCCTTAAACAGACATCAATAATCAGTGGAAAGCAGGCAGAGGAGGATCTCCACATGTATCACTTAGAAGTATTACATAATTTGCATGCAAATGAGACCTTTTTTTTTACTTGAGAAAACCTATTAAAACATGTAGGATCAATACTGTGCGATGAAAAGAAATTACATTTATTATCAGGAAATGCTTACAGCATCTATTCATTCATCTAATTTAAGCACACTTCATATAAACTTCACATAGATCATGACTTTCTGATATTGTAGTTTTCTCAAATACAACAAAGTGACTGCAGGACTGTGTTCTGTATAAAAAGAATGAAAGCGCTGGCTTAGCCAGGAGGTGGAGATGGGATGGAGTGAAAGCAGAAAGGTAGGAAGAGGAGTAGGAGGGGAAGGCAGAGAATAAAACAGTGTTCACTTCTTTTTTTGACTCTTGG